AAAAAAATCCCTCGGCTTTGCGATACTGAGCTGGCACATTCAATATATGTCTTATTACCAATATAAATATTCTTAATAAAATATACATAAATTTTTAACATCAATATATCATTACAATGAAAGCACTTAAATAGTTTGACATATCTAAAGAGTATAATTAATTTAACTAATAGTAGTTAATTAGATACTATATATAACTTTTAAATATGATAAATGAATTATTAAAATAAAATTTTATTTATTAATAATATTTCGGTACGGTAGGGCAATATACCATTTTAATAATATTGAGTGCCGTTGCCCTACCAAAACATTTCGGTAGGGTACGGTAATAATTCGGTAGAAATATTTCGGTAGAGAATCGGTAGGGCTCGGTAGGGCAACGGGTTGGTAGGGCAATTTGGTAAAAAAAAACCACCCCTAGATATATATATAGATATATATATATATATATATATATATATATATATATATATATATATATATATATATATATATATATATATATATATATATATATATATATATATATATATATATATATATATAGGGGCCTTAAGATATAGGTCCCTAGTGACAAAACTAATTAGGAGCTAGATGACAAGTTTAACTAAACATTTGCTTCAAGTCCTTTATTAATTTCATTCCGAAAATGCCCTTTCACTCATCTTTATTTTTTCAATTTACACTTTGCATTATTTTATATTATTATAAACAATCTTTTTTTCTTATTTATAAGATCGTTTTTGAAATTACGATTTTTTTTCTTCTTTTTGTTAAATAATTCAGCAGATTTCAAAAATTCTATAGTATACTATGGTGTACTATGTTATACTATGGTGTACTATCCGATTTTTTTTCTTCTTTTTGTTAAATAATTCAGCAGATTTCAAAAATTCTATAGTATACTATGGTGTACTATGTTATACTATGGTGTACTATCGTTTCTACACTATTATTAAAAAATATTTTTTTTCTACAATATTATTAAAAATTACAAAACAAAACTTGTTTTTCTTTATATATATATATATATATATTTAATATTTTATTTGTTGTAATACTATAGTAGACTATGGTATACTATGGTGTACTACCAAACCCTAGCCGCCAACAACACACAACCCTCGTCACAGCCAACATCTGCAGTCGTCGCAACCAT